CTGAAGCCGCGCGCAAGCCTGGCCGCCGCGTCCGGGCGCGCGAGGAGCAGGGAGGCGAGCGCCCGCCGGCAGCCCAGCGCTTTATAGCGCCGGGGGGAGGGGGTCGCGCTTTCGTAACCGCGCGGGGTGAAAGACCGAGGGGGAGGCGCGGGCGGCGGGGGGCGGCCAGGCCAGCACTTGCATAATGCGCCCTGACTCACCGCGCCTGGGGACAGGGAGGGTCCCTCTGGGCCGCCGCGGACTGCTGGGACTGGCGCGCAGGGTGGCCAAGCTCTGCAGCGGCGCTGAGCTGCGGGGCCAAGCCCTGGCCTGGTTACCCAGCCCTTGCGCCAGTAGCTGGCGGCCTGGGGTGGCCTCCGGGCCCAGCTGCCCGGGCTGGAGGCCCGAGTGGGCCTGGTAGGAAAACCCTGGTCTCGCGTGGCGAGTAGGGGCCTGTGGGGCTGCCTGCTGCATTAGTGCTGAGACCCTGGCTGTGCCAAGTTGGCCCCTCCGCCTTCTAAGGACTAGTTATGCGGGGGTTTTAGAGTGTTTTGCCCAAATGGTTTTTCCTTTTCATAAAGGATGCATTTTACTCTTTGAGAAGAGTTGTGGTGCCCTTTGCGTCAATATTTGTTCTTTAGTTTCAACATTTAGAAGCATTAAAACGCCCCCTGTTAAATATTCTCTAGAAACAAAACTCTGGTCAGGATAGGAAATTCTTTAGCAGCCTGGGTGGGTGGTTGCGTGGTTGGTTGCCTACTTACTTTGCCGCAGTTCCCTGAAATCACTGGGAAGCACATCTAATGATTGTTTACGATACATTTTATTGCAAAGCCATATTGGAAGCGTATTTTATTTTGTTTTCGAAACTGTCAAATGAATTGGTAGAGGAGTGGACAAAGAAAAGTGACCAATATTCTATAAGAAAAAGTGTTTCACCTACTTCATGACATAGTTTACTCACCGTTTTTCTTCCTCTTTCCAAAGTTAGAGTTCCACGAATCTCATCAAGGCAGTCAAGACTCAGATTTTCACCAACTGAGAAATAATAATGATATGGCGAAAAAATCTTTTTTTAACTGTTCCTTTTACACAGTATTAGTTTTGTCTTCCCGAGTCAAACGGGGAGAAACAGAAGAATCTGGAACATTTTGCTGCACCTGAAATAAGAGTAGGTAGGAGAAAAGGAAATGTCAAATAAATAAGGAGTTGATTGGTTCCCAGACCAGCCATATAGCTATTTCTAGCCCCTCCTCAAAAAAAAAAAAGCTTCTTTCAATTTACTGTAATATTTTGAACATTACCTGACTGGTTCTCAGCTTCAACTTTGCACTTCTCTACGACTGTGAGTCCCAGCTATCTTCCCAGAGTTAGGAATGCCTGTTTCTGACCACCAAGCTTACCAGATCTTCTGGGGCTAGTTTTACCAAAACATGTTTATAGTTGTTCCTCAGTTTCTACAGGAGATTGGTTCCTGGCCTCCTGTGGATACAAAATTCTGTATATATTCAAGTCCCTTCTGTGAGATGGCATAATATTTGCATATAACCTAATCAAATCCTTCTGTGTATTTCAACTCATCTCTAGGTAACGATTCTTCCTACAATGCTATGTAAATAGTTGTTAAACTGTATCGTTTAGGGAATAATGACAGAAACAAAAGTCTACTCATGTTCAGTGCAGACACAATTGTGGTTTATTGCTGTGTAAACAATATTGCTTACAAAATAATGACAGATGATGGTCAGTAGAGATGGAACCACCATAGGTGTAACTATATACTATATAAGCAAGACTCAAGGCAAAGATACTCCAATGATCAGTGCTGTGTGGAGCGTGAGAGTACCATGGAACAATGGGAGGCTACTGCAGAGTGTGCCTGGACCTCACATCACTTCATTCACATGGAATCAACCTCGTGCTTGGGATGCAGAAAATTCAAGTTTGTTTTTTAGTTTTTTCTGAACTTTTTCTATCCAATGTTGGTCGAGTCCATGGATGTAAAACCTGTGAATAAGAAGGGCTGGCTGCAATCCCGAATAGGATGACTGAGGTGTACTCCAGAACCCCTCCTGCAGGAATTGCGTGTTTGGCCGTATATTCTGTATATACCTGTGCTGTCTGAGTGGGGAAAGACTTTCAGGCACCTATTGAGCTCCCATCCCCTATTTGGCTGCTTTAGCATTCCAGAGTAGAAGTCTTTCTGTTTCTGCTCCAACTCCTCCAGCACAAGAGAACCCCAGGCCTAGCCCAATTGTCTTTGGGTACAAAAGTTCTCCTAACATTCCCTGGCCCTGTGAACCACCTCTCTAGAGCATATTCTAGTGATCTTGTGCATGCTGTATGATGGGTGAGTGAGGGCCGGGGATACAGCTCAGCAGCACAAGCGCCTGCCTGGCAAGCGCAAGGTCCTGAGTTGGATTCCTGGTACCAAAAAAAAAAAAAAAAAAAAGATGGGTGAATGCGAGGGATTTCACCATATTTGTATGGTGGTGGTTTTTGCAGCAACATGTATGCAGTTATTTGTTAGGTATTTAAAGATGTTGGTAAAACCTACCCTCCCTTTCTCTCTTCCTTTCTTTCCTCTTCCCTTCCTCTCCCTTCCCTTCTTCTCTCCTTTTTTCTCTTTTAATGAATTATCATGAACCTTGTTGTTTCAGACAACAGTAAAGAAAACCAATTTATTTTGGCATTCTCTCACAGATTTATTCATGATTACAAATAATGTGAATTTAGGTAAACTGATGTTTTTAATCAGTGCTTTGAAATTAATCTCATAAAATAACTTTTCAAATGTGCATATATAAGGGGCTGGGGATTTAGCTCAGTGGCACAGCACCTGCTTGGCAAGCGCAAGGTCATGAGTTTGATTCCCGGTACCAGAAAAAAACCAAAAAACCAAAAAAAAAAAAAAAAAAAGTGCATATATATGAAATATTGTAAAGAAAAATGTTCACAGTGGCTAGTTCTATGTGGTACATTTAAAGTTTGTTTTTCTTTGTACCTTGTATTGTTCAATTTTTCTACAGGGAAAATGTTTAATCAGAAAATTAAGCAAATATTTTCTTTCCAAATATTTTCCTTGCTTTTTCTATAAATAAAATGAGGTTTTAAGTTACACCATATGGATGCCATATACCACACACAAAGTTCATTTCCTTGCCCTGCTTTAAGAAGAAGAAATCATCTTTCATTCATCTGAGTAGTTCCATGTGACACATCAAGGAATTTGTACATTGTAGATGCTCAATAAACATATTAATTTAATATTTTTCTGAAATTAATCACTTCATGTATGCTTCATAAAACATTTATTTAAAAACACCTGGTCCTTCCAGTATGTACTTTCTCAGGATTTAGCACTTGTAGAAGTGGCTACTTGTTCTTTCACCAAAAAATTTGCACTCCCCTTTCATGGTATAAAATTGGGGGCTACATCTGCCAGCCTTTTTCTCCTCCACACCCTCTTCCCAGAGCTTGATAAGGCCACAAGCTTAAATTCTCATTATGTAATGTATTATATATTGTGACACTCCCAGAAAAGCTGCCTATCCAATCATCCATTCTCTCTTTACTTCTCTCACTGCTGCTGGCAGATCCTCTAACAGTCTGGCAACTTTGGTGACTGGATTTATGTTAATGAGAAATAAACTTCCATTGGGTTAAACTATTGAGATTTGAGGAATTAATGTAACAGAAGTTATACTAACACTACCAGCAGCAAACGGGTCACTGACTCCTCGAAAATATTGAAAAATGTTTTACCATCATTAAAACAAGAGCTAAAAAAAAAAAAAGAGCTAATGTAATACATTTACATTATTACCCTCAAGTAAATTAAGCATTTCCAACCACTCTTACATGCACATCTTGACTGAGACCAAGAAAAATGAAAACAAGGAAATTGGGCACAATTTTTCTTACCCCTACATGCCTAAATGATTGGTTGAAAATGAAAAAGTTAGTTAGCCAATGTTTTCTGGTATAAAACAACTTTTCAATAAGGATTTTTCTGTGGTTGTTAAGCTATCAATCAATCTCATCTATTTAGTTGAATGCAGTATGGGTTCCCCCCCTGCTGAATTATCTCTGATATGCTTGCCATACCTATCAATTGGGTGCAGGCAGACAGCTGCCTTAAGAGCAATGTGCAGATGAAAGGATTGCCAGGATGTGTCTCAAATCCCTTCTCTGGGAGTGCCTTTCCATAATGGGTACTGACAGGAACTGAGAATCTGGCTTAAGGCAGAAGAGTGATGATCAGTTACCCTAGGCATTATCACTGGCTTCATGCTGGTGCTTCATCCTCGTGCGTGTATTAGCTTTCTGTATAAATTGTTATCTGTAGTGGAAAGCTGTAGCAATGATGAAATTAAATATCTGTGCTCATTTGTATAGCGTACTTCTAAAAAATGTCAACACGTTAAACAGAAAGTTTAAGGAATTTAAGCCATTCTTTGGGGCATCTTTAGATTTTTAAAAGTGTTTCCTAGGGTTTTTATTTCATTTTTATTTTAGTATGAAAATTTGTCCACATTTTAAATTTCTTAAGAATAGATTTTTGTATATTCCCATATGCAATTTGTATGAAGTACACTTTTAAACTTTGCCATGTTAAAGTGGTTGGTTTAGGGTAGATTATGATCACTAACTGTGTGACTTTGGAAGTTTCCTAATCACTCTGTGCTTCAACTTCTCCCTTGTAAAACATAGATAATAATAGTCCCTATTTCATAAGATTATTGTAAGAATTCAGTGAGATTGTCTATGTCAGGGTCTTAGGAGAGTAACTAGCATGAAGTGTATATTATTTATAGTAACTATTCTTATTATCATGCAGCTTGTATTTCTAAACAATAGCTATGTAAATGGAATGGAGTTTTCACATTGACTTAGTTATCATTTTGGAGATGTTTTATCTAAATGAATTGATCAACAGGGTCTATAGCATCTGAGATCTTGCCTTTTTGTTTTTTCTCATTCTCCCTACTAGTTAATACTATTTTAAAAACAAAACAAAACAAAAATCTATGCTTTAAATCAACAAGAAGTGCTGACCTAAAAATTAATTAGGGAAATTTTGAAGTCAATTATTTTGTATGTTAAAATCTGTTTAAATTATCTGTTTTATAATTTTCAGCTTTAAGATATGATATTTTCCTAACTTGATTTTGTTTTTGAATGTCTGTGCATAAATAGCCAATAAGAGACACAACGTTCCTGCCAGAAGCTTTTCAAAGAGCTCCCCTGAGGAGGAAAGGCAGTGGGAATAATGGGATGTAGTCAAGGACAAGGAGAAAGGAAAGAATGCTTCTGTGTGTGCTAAAAGGCAGGGTTCCAATGTACCCCATTTACAATCTTTGCTTGATAAAATGTCGTTTGTCTTAGTTCAAGCAGCAATAAGAAACTGGCACCAGTGGCTTATGAACAACAGAAATTTTTTCCTGGCAGATTTGGAGGCTGAAAATCTGACATCAGGTTGCCAGCATGCTTGGGTCCCAGTGAGGTCCCTCCTGCCTCTTCCGGGCTATAAATTGCATTTTCTCCTTGTATCCTTCCTGGGGTCCCGTTTAAAAGAGCACTGATCCCACTCATAAAGACTCTACCTCCATCACCTCTCAAGGGTCCTGCCTCCTCATACCATTGCAGGGGTGTCAGAATTTCATCATGGATTTAGGAAAGACCCAGGATTGTCTTTTTTCTGGTGCTTTCTATCTTCTTTTCTTGTGCTTCTAACAAATCAGTGACCCAGTCCTGTCAATTGCTTGACTGGATTGTGTCTCACATTTGTCCCTTCTTTTTTCATGACTAAGTAACTCACCCTTAGATGACAGAAATAGCCCTAAAACTTTGTTTATGAATTTATTCATTACATAAATTAGACATGCTCATTGTAGATGCTTAGAAAAATCAAGTAAGCGAGAGAGAAAGAAAGAAAGAAAGAAAGAAAGAAAGAAAGAAAGAAAGAAAGAAAGAAAAAGAAAGAGAAAAAAGAAAGGAATAAGATAAAAATGTATGTCTTAAATTCATCATTATAGAATAATTATAATTACATTTTGGTTTATACATCTGTGAGTGTGTGTGTGTGCGTGTATTAGTGGAATCATACTGCTATGCTAGTTTGTAATTAACTGCATATCATAAATATGTGTTCATATGAATAAATAAATTTTAACACTATTGTTAGCATTAGGTATATAGTTTTTCATCCTGTGAATATGATGCTATTTATTTACTCAACCTCTTATTATTGAATATCTAGGCTATTTCTAATGTTTAATAAACATGCTTTTGATAAATATCCTTGCAACTGCTTTGACATGATATTATTTATTTACTCAACCTCTTATATTGAATATCTAGGCTATTTCTAATGTTTTATAAACATGTTTTTGATATGTATCCTTACAACTGCATATAAGAATAATATACATCCTTAATTATTTTATAAGATAAATTAATAATATACCAGAATTACAGGGTCAGTAGTTATATACTTTTTTTAGGATGTTTGAGATAATGGACCAAATGCATTACAATAATCTTCCCTTACTAGCAAAGGATTTCTAAGATGGTCTTCAAATGCGTGAAACCACAGATAATACCGAACCCTATAAATAGATATCTTTCTTGTACATACAACAACTAAAAATAAAATAGAATGATTATGGCCGCATAGTGTGCTAAAAGTAATTTTGGAAGTTATTTAAAACTTATGAGTTATTAAGTGGCTGGGGATTTAGCTCAGTGGCACAGCACCTGCCTGGCAAGCACAAGATCATGAGTTCGATTCCCGGTACCAGAAAAAAAAATAAAATAAAATAAAAAATAAAACTTAGGAGTTATTTATTTCTGGAATTTTTCATTTAATATCTTTATCATAAGGTTGACTGCAGGTAACTGACACCTTGGAATGTAAAATCATGAATAAGAGGGGATTACTGTGTACCTTCTTCATCTGTATCCCAATGTCCAATATTTGTTTTTTCCAAATTATCTTTTTCAGTACTACTGTGTTAACTTTGTAAAGGAAAATGCCAGTAATATCACTTCATCTCTCACTGCTCATCCTGTTACCCTACACTCCACACCCTTGCTCTGGTGATACCACCTGGAACATGCTCAACCTCCACCCTGTCTCTACTTACTCTAAATGTGATGCCTTATGTGAGCTTGCAGAACCACATGTATGTGCCTCACTTCTGCATTTATCATGGTTTGTTCTACGGCTTATGGCTTGTTATGTACCAGTCTCACTTCCCTTGCTACGCAACTGGTAAAACAAGGACCAAGCCTTGTTCCTCCTCTAGTGTCCCCTACATTTAAAGTGTAATCATCAGAAATTACTCAACTATGCAGTAACAGACAGCCCTATGAAAGTAAGACAGGTTTATTCTTCACTCATTCTACCTGTTCAGCTCAGGTCAGCAGGGACTTCTGTTCTGTGACATCCTCACTCTGGGTTACACCAGTGAATCCATCTGAAACTCCAGCTGAAGCTAACATGGGAGCATGGGGAACAGAGGTAAAAAATCTCACAGTAGCAATTTGTTATTCCTGCCCGGAAGTGGCATTTCTGCCCATAGCCCATTGGCCAAATTTAGCCATGTGGTCTTTCTAGAGAAAGGTGTACAGAGAAGAGGAATCTTCCTATATAACTACAAAGGAAGAATGATCTTATAACCTGAATCTCCACGGTAGTATCTACGATGGTGGCTTGCTTATAATGGAGGAATCAAAATATATGCTATAATGTTGAGTAAATATTTGATATAGGCAGTTATAGAAACAAAATAATACACTGTTTCTTTTTCAAATTAATTGTCATTTTTATAAGTATAAAAATATTACATATTTTTTCCTACAAGGAAGCAAATTCCTATTAATCCAAACCAACTCCTAACATGCAATACAAATGTGGGGTTTTTTCTCTGTTTAAATAGGAAAGGATGGAATCAGAGAATTGTGAATATACCACATGCTTTTGGGAGAAGTAGGAACTGCCCAATAGTTACACAAAATAACTAGGTAGAAAAGAGTTCCCTGGTTAGAAGATGATGATAGTCTCATGGGAAGGGTAATTTGGTTGATTCAATTCTTTCCCCTGGGAAATACATCTTTTCATTATTCTAATTGTAATGAGATGCTAAAAGGATGTTATAAAGTAGTAAATAGTAATCTGTGGAAGACTCCCCTGAGATAAGACTTGGATATGACATTGATTGGTAATTCACAAGATACTTTGAAGTAGCAGATGAATCTCAATTTTAAGAAGTAGGGTAGCTCAACTAATGCAAATTTGAATTTTATTCCTTGATGAAACCATGTACCAACTAAGAATCTCTCAGTTCAAGACCTAGAACCTGCAACCTCAACTCTTTCTTTTGTGGCTATTAAGATTATTATTATTCTAGCAAAGTGAAACTTCAGGTTTAGAGAATTAAACCCATACATTGTTCTTTCTGAAGCAAACAAATGTAAATGTAATAATAATTTTTGGAGTCACTGTAATATGTTGTGTTTTTCACTTAAGAGAATTTCTTGTTAGGTTTGTAGCTTTATTGAAATAGACCTTCAATAAGTTAGAAATTAGCATTAAAATATTCAAAACAATTGGCTCATAAAATGAATATTTTGACTTATTAGATGCACAATAATGTTTAAACACTTGGGCAAATGTACTTAATAGATGTAAAAGCTTAATAAACTGAACATTAAACAAAACTAAGTATCAGTAAGTATTCTTTACATGCCAGTGGCCTCTGAGATGTTAAGGATCCTAGCAACAGATGAGATAGCTACTGTCCAGTAGATTTAATAGATTGTACCTTGTAGCAAAACCACATAATGTCCAGCTACTAGTATTAAAAATAAAATCCAAACTGATGTGCTTGTCAGGAGAACACAGTTAACAACTACATGGTTCGCTTTTTATCATTGTGTCTCTTGACAAGAGTTATTGTTCAATCTTTGGCTTGATTAGGCTTGGATTGGAGGCAAATGTTTTGCCATGTGCACCTCTCTAATACACAATAAGCCCAAGGTTTCTTCTTTTAAAACACTTTGGAAGTGAAGCTTCTAAAGTGAGAATGATTGAGAGTGGCAGGATTTACAAAAAGAGTAAAACAAGCAATCTGAGTGATCAAAGGACTTTTAAGAAAAAGATTCACTTTTATGCTGTGTTGATGCTAAGCCATTTCATCTCCCCACAAAGTTCATTATATTCCTATATAAACAAACAAAAAAACCTAAGCACTTCCAAGGTCTAAACCCAAGCACTTCCTACAGTCATCATACAAGAACAACTCAAATTGCCAATCAGTGCTAATGTAATATAATTAAGAGATGCGTCAGTGATGATTCTTTGCTGTGGCCAGCAGCAGTTCAGTTATTTTTCTGGAATAGATAGTTCAACCTGACAGTTGCCTGAATGATCTAGGATGCTCTGAGGATTCTCTGAGGACTTAGGGGCTAATAATGTTCAGGGGCTTAGTGTCCTGAAGAACTCTTTAATCCTCTGCTTCCTGAACCCCATCATAAGCTAGAACCTTCTGTCACGTCCCAGGAGTTACCGGCAGTTTGAGAGCTCTGCCAAGGCAACCTTTCAGTTCTGCCTTTGGTGCTCTTACAAACTACCATCCAGGCTTTCCTTAGCAACTTTGGCAATCATGAATTTCCTTTTTGGCCTCTGCCTAAGGTAGCACTCTGAGGATCTTCCATTCTAAACAAAACAAGCCACACCATGGGTGAGATCAGCCAAGATGCTGTGGAGAAGTATCTCGAGGAGAACCCTCAATTTGCCAAGGAGTACTTTTACAAGAAACTTCATGTTGAAGCAGTGGGAGAAATCTTCAAGAACAGCCAGGCTATGGTCAAGGCCAGCTTGTCGTTCCCTGAGCTGACACAAGTAGAGGAGTCAGCCCTGTGCCTGGAACTGCTGTGGTCTGTGCAGGAAGAGGCAAGCAGCGCCGAGCTGGTAGCACACAGGGCCCTGCAGAGGCTGGCCCAGCTGCTGCAGGCTGACCGCTGCAGCATGTTCGTATACCGTGCCCGCAATGGCACTCCAGAGATGGCCTCCAGGTTGCTGGACGTCACCACAACCTCCAAGTTTGAGGACAACCTGGTGGTCCCTGACAGAGAAGTTGTGTTTCCACTGGACATCGGGATAGTGGGTTGGGTTGCTCACACCAAGAAAACCCTTAATGTCCCTGATGTGAAAAAGGTAGGTGGCCCTCTGATAGTGGGAATAGGTCTTGGTGGGGTCTAGGAGGGAACCAATGAGAAAAAGATGGCACCATTCCTGTGGCATCAATTTGGCTAAAATGTGGGAAGAGTGGGTAGTGGGGCAGAAGAGCACCCAGGCTTTGCCATGCCAGATTTACCAAATAAAAATGCAAGTTGCCCAGTTAAACTTGAATCTCAGTTGAGTAACAGATAGTGTTTCTTAATATAAGTATGCTCTATGTGATGTTTGACATTTGATCAGGCACTTCTACCTGGGCTTTATGTGTTCCACATCTCTTTCCCTAACTCCTCCATTGTTTTGTGTATTTTCATTTTGAACCACAGTCAAGTTGGTCAGTGCAGTTGAAGATCAGCTAAGCAGCCCAATGCCAAGGCTATGAAACCGTTCCCATGCCTTTCATTCATAACCCTCAGAGGACGTGCAGTTCTTTGGGATGGATGGCTCATAAAGCGATTTTTTTCACCTATAGACTAAATATGCAAAAAGGAAAATTTTACATTGCTTAGAAGTTCAGATATTTGACTTAGATTACAAATGTGAACTTAATGATAGTTGAGTACAGCTGAACCATGCTCTCAGATCTATCAGGAATGAATTCCAGTCATTTGAATGGACATTTGAACCCTCCTGAAGACCTAAAAGAGCACACTATACTAATGTAAAGCACTGATATACCCCTTACAGAAACAGAAAAATAACTTTTCTTTTTACTACTGCAATATACTTATTTGAGCCAAAGATATAAAATGCTAATAATTCATAATCCCTTAGCAACAATCATGGATATAAGCCTGGAATTTCTTCCCGACAACCTCTTCTCCACACCCTAGTCACATAATTATGATTTACTGTCAACAGAAGGGGAGAAATAGATTGTGACAGGGTAGAATTTAATGGAAAGGAGCAGCCCTGAAATGCTCTCGGTGCAAGGGTCTATGGTCAGCATGTGACAAGGGCAGCTGGAGAGGGAAGAGGGTAATCCCTTCCATATCTCCTAAAGCTGATTACAGGAGGAGGCCCAGGAGGAGAAGTTTGTCAAACTTTAGCACCACTAGGCAAACAATGGCAGGCCCCTTTCAGGCGCAAGTGTTGCAGCAGGCCCTTAGCATCTTAGTTCTTTAGGGTCACTCCTTTCCAAGAGTTTGAACCAGCTTAAGCTTGCTTTTTGAGATGTGTGCTGTTGCTTTCAGTGACTAAACTCATGGATGTTCTTAAAAACAAGCTTGTTTTAAGCTGGGCATACACCTGCATTCCCAGAATTCTAGGAGGTTGAAGCAGGCAGACCAGAAGTTCAAGCCCTACTTGGGGAGCTTAGTAATTTAGCAAGACCCTATCTCAAAAATCTTCTCTTGGTCCCAGCTATAGATTATGTCCCCATACCCTGAGATTTTCTCACGGGAATATGCTTCTTCAGGCTCCAACTGAGTTCACCTCCAAAGTGACTAGGACATCAAACTTAAGAAACTGACATCCAAACAAATTGTTTCTGAGAATTTTTAAAAGGAGAGGTGGGTAAGATGATTTCTGCTGTAATGTTTTAATGAGCTCAGTTCTCCACACTGAGAGGAAAATCAGAGACTGAAGCTGCTTAAAAGATGAGGTAACTTTGGCCTGTCATTGTCCATGGCCTGTCATTGTCCGTGGTGGGCACTGCTGCACAGAAAGTGCAGTTCATGGTGTGGGGAGCTCTCCCTTCTGAGAAGTCTTGCTGTTCTGGATGGGAAGTGAGTTTTGAAAACAGATGCTCCCTTGAACTGGGGCAGGGGATAAAAGTCCTATTTACTCTCCATTTTTGCTGCTTCTAAGCATTTTCCCCCACCAGAATGGTACTTTTTAACTCTGCCTGTACTTTAAAATCAAACTGATGGCCTTTTAAAAAATATTGATGTTTAAGACTCTCAATAGACCAGAGTTTATGCTGGGACATGGATGTTATTATGTTTAAAGTTCCCTAGGTGATTCTAATATGCAGCCAAGGTTGAAAGAAACGTCTATTAGGTTAGCAGACACAGGAGGAACAGGTGACTTTCAAATCAACTGTAGAATATTAGAAATGGAAAGGGTTTGATGTGCCTTATTAGCCCAACTCTCCTGTAGCAGATGGAAAGTTGAGGTCCCATAGTTGTGTCTCCCCCAGAATCCATGGTACATGTGAGTGAGAGGGCAGCAATGGAATAGAGACCTCCTGACTCCCTGGCCATTGCTTTTCCACTTGCCCTGCAGCCCTGCTGTTTCACATGCTTCGGGCACTGCAGGAAAATCTGCACCCAGAAAGAGGTAGAAACTAGTGTTTTAGGTGAAATTTTTGATTCATTCTTCACTTCTCTGCAGCACTTTACAATTTGTAAAATATTTTCATATTCCTAATCTTACTTGATTCTGACAAAGACCCTTTGCAGAAGATGAGTCATTATTTGTATTTTCATCTATATAATAAGGTTCTATTTAAGGTCAGGTAGACAGGATGTGTCAGGTCTGGAACAATAACCTAGTTCTTTGATACCGTCCTCTTTCTCCCACATCACTAACCACACATGACTTTCCTTTGGTTAGCAGTGTGGGTGCAGGTAGGAGAAAAATACCAGGCAAAAATGTCCCACAAATATATGAGATGCTTCCAATCTTGATGGTTCATGAAGATGGTAATAGGGAAGCTACGTGATGTAGCACAAGTTTTTTTGCATAAGAAAAGAACTGGGCACAGAACCAAGTCCGAGGCTTAGCAATTCTGTGTGGATTGAATTTCCATGCCTGAGTAATGAAGATAACCAAATGTACAGGTTAAATGTACATAAAGTGCCTGATTCATAACAGATGCTCTTTATAATGGTGTCCGTGATATAATTATCATGCTGTAGGAGTTTGGGAGTTTGGTGGAGATGATCAAAAAAGTCAATGATTATTGCCTGTTTAAAACATATTAAAAGCAAGGAAACTGAATAAAATGAAACAGAAATATCCTTTTCAAGCTAATTATTTCTTTTCTTTATCGGAAAAGCTGTTTGTTAATAATAGGTGGTCCTAAATCTAGCTGTGGTTTAGAAGAAAGCCCTAAGAGAAGGTTGACATTTTTAATAATTAACCAGGTGCTTACCGTTCTCTCCCCCCCCTCTTTTTCTTCCCTCATCTCTTTCTGCTTCTTGATCCCAAGGGTTAATGGTGTTTAATCAGGATTTAGGCTGCAACAAGATCAGGAGTGATCAGCATTCTGCTGCTCTAAACAGTGTTCTTTAGTTACCTTCAGGAACTTCTATGGAAAAAAGATCATCTAGAGAATCCAAGAATCAGAAACACAGGATTTACTCAAGGAAACTTCTCTGAGGACTGTTTGCTAGTGAAAAATAAACACTAAGAAGCCTCTCCTCCCCTACCTGGTAATTTGTTGGACGATTTATTCAAGAGTTTCACATGCATAGCGAAATATTAAATTTTGAAACCTACAAGCCATTTTCTCAAAACATGGAACTTAAGAACATATCCTATTTAGAGTCCACAGTAAAATGGCAACAAGTTTTGAAGCTGCAGAGTAAAATGGGTGGGAAATATTGCCTAATTTCCTCCTGTGGTGCACTTTTTTGGTATTTCACTTATTCTTCTAGTGCCTAGGACTGCTGCCTAAATGAAGGTGATCGCAATCTGTGATGGATAAGTATTATGAGAGGAAAACAGTATTCAAATTGGTCCATGCAAGCAGTGGATTAGAGAAAAAAAATCTAAAAAAGTCTGGTGACATCTGGCCAAAGGGTGAAGATGCTTTAAGACACAGAGAAGTAGCAGATAAATCAGGGAAAAAATGCAGCAACTTGTGGCATGGGGTAGAACTCAGACCCTCAAAGGTCAGGTGCTTCTGGGCACAGGAGGTCTATACCTTGATAAGGATATCTAATTTCTTCAGTGTCTAGAATTGGTTTAAAAATCTAGGTCTGGAAGCAAAATGTTAACTGAAAAAGCAAACTGCTTTTCAAGGGGGAGAGGAGCAGCCCAAAAGAGACCTAAATTTCTTTTCCTAGTATTTACAAATATCTCCTATGTGTCAGACAATTTTCTGAGTTCTCTACACATAGTATGTTGTTCTATCATCACATGACAGACTCTAGTTAGTAGATAGGAGCATTCTCTCCATTTTTATGTTAGAAAACAACGGCACAGAGGTAAAGTGACATGCCCAGAACTGGGGCCTGGTCTCAACCATGGAAGTCTAACTCCAGAAACTTCTTCTCCATTATGCAACATTTTCTCCCCAAAAATAAGTGCATCTACTTTGAGAAGAGATTGGAAGAGATGTGAGATGAAGGGCTGCATTTGAACATCATTCTTTTGCCTTGTGAATGATCTCATGTCTAGGTGTCTTCCATGAGAGCAATTCTTGTACTAGGTTGAATACTGGGATTAAAATACAGATTTCTGGCAGTTTATGAAACATTTTAGAATACAGATGCTACCTTAGGAGTTTAGGATTTGGTGGGTCTCCTCTGAGGTCTTAGAATCTGACTTATCAGCAGGGTATTCTGGAGCACAGCTGAGTCTGTTCCTAGTGACCAAACAGTCCTTGTCCTGATAGACTGGAAATCACAGAGCTGTGGACTCTCAGATTTTTAACCTGGGAAATGGAACAGAATCCAGCCTCCAAGATTTGTGTTGCTTTTAGAAGTATCATCAACAAGTGAAATGAAAATAGTGTAAATCATGAAAAGAATGTCACTTTAATTTTAGTCAGTGAGTCTCAGAAGCTGAAAGTTCGGCGCTAATTGAAAAAGATACAGGCTCAAAGAACATCAGAGCTCAAGGAAGGGTGGATCTCCTTCCATCTAGAAGGAGACTCACTGACATTGCAGCTAATAGGAAAACTGCAGCCTTTCTAATCATCATTCAGCTCTCACCACTGCCAGGGTATTAGAATCATGTCCTGTGTATATTACAGATAGAAGGTCTATATCTGGGAAGATCCTCTGTCCTAGCAGAGGAGAGAGGGAGGAGGGAGAGAGAGAAAGAAAGGAAAAGAAAGAGAGAGAGAGAGAGAGAGAGAGAGAGAGAGAGAGAGAGAGAGAGAGAAAAGAAAGAAAGAAA